TTTTCATGGGTCAAGTAAAGAATCATTATGAGTCATATATGTATAATCTTTCACTGTTATGGTATGATTACTGCACACCGTCCATAGGGCTTTGATGAACACATACTTTGCTTGCTAGCTTATTATTTATTTTTGCGGTACGCGGGCTTCTCACTGTTGTGGCCTCTCCCGTTGCAGAGCACAGGCTCTGGATGCGCAGGCTCAGCGGCCATGGCTCACAGGCCCAGCTGCTCCGCGGCATGTGGGATCTTCCCGGACTGGGGCACGAACCCGTGTCCCCTGCAGTGTCAGACGGACTCTCAACCACTGTGCCACCAGGGAAGCCCGCTAGCTTATTATTGCTTCAAGGATAGCTGTAGGCAGTTTTCATTTGTTGCAGTTTGGGCATGATTTCTTAATTTTTAGAATTTTTGATGTTTTAGAATTTTAGAATTACCTTAGATAAGAGAGGCAACATAATTAGATTTTCTTTCTCTTCTTTTTTGTTCGGGTCTTCTGTGGATAATTAACAAAAAAATATGTTTAATGTCCTGTGCCTTTACAAGTAATATAGATATTTCTATTAATAAAAAACTAGTCATTACAGTTTCAGATGTGATAATGGTCTCTGTAGTGTTCCTGAGGAAAGTGTCTGCTTTTTCCTAGGTAAAATTTGAGGTCCCAGCTAACTTCATTTCTGCTTATTTTAGATTATATTATTTCTGTGGCCAAGCATTTAATAGTGTTCAAGTCGTATATTAAAGCCATCCAGACATATTCTTTGCTTTTGTTTGAATCTGTTACTATTGCTATAGAGACAGATGTAAATAGATTGTAATTATGAGCTAAGCATCACAGAAGATTAGAGGATGTTTAGACTCTTAGATTGTGGAGCATTAGATCACCTGGACCTTAGATAATGTGAAGAATATCTTGCTTCCTAATTGATTATTAATCTTTAATTATAGTATGATCGAAGGCTTTATAGATCCAGAACACATCACTCCTCATTCATTTGGTGTAGATATAAGTTCAGAAGTTTCTAGGTGAGAATTTTTGCATACTGTACCATATTGATATAATTACAAATAGATAAGAGAATGAAATGATGCCTGCTGTACCATTTTGAAATAATTACTAACATCTTGACCAAAAACTAAGAGAGTAGAAGATTTTCCTCTAACAGTTGTGTTTTAAAGACATGCAGGAACTATTTTAGAACAAGTCTTTTCTGGAAAAAGGAAGTAGTGGATATATTATTGAAAGATGTAGTTCTTGCTCATTTTCAGCCTCTAGCAGATCTCTCATAGCATGTGAAATGCTTCTAATTCTCTCATAGAAAAGAGTCATCCAGTTGTCTTCGGAATTTATTTTACAGAAGTTGAACAGTGTTTTTAGTGTTTACAAATCGTATTGAAATAGGAGAATGATATAGCACAAATTTGCTTTAAAAAAATTCTCCAGTATTAGAATTTATCTCCTTGTTACTTGTTGAAAGCAAAGGCCAATAAAGTTGTCTTAAAATAGGCAAGTCAGTTGTAACGCCTGTTTTTTATGGATTTCCCAAATATAGTTTTGTTATTAAGGTTGTGAGATGCTTGATAAAAGGCAAATGTCATTGCTGAAAGGGAATGAATGTAAATCCAAATAAATATAAACACAGTTTAATGTGTTATTTTCTTTATAGAGACAATGATCAGTTTATTTCGACATGATAGTGCCTGTTCCCTAATTTAGGTTATAAAATTGATTTGCTTGTACAACATTGAGTCCCTTCTATGTTTTAAGGAATCATCCCCAAACAATCATTTTATAAAACAAAACTTACTTTGATTTTTAACTTTTATTTCTAAAGAAGCATTTTTGTTAGGGTTTAATTATTAACATCAACTCTCTGATTTGTTTGGAAATGAAATGTTCACAATACTGTTATTTCACATTTAATGAAGAATGACAGGAGTTTGCTCTATCTATGTTAGAATTACTTTTTTAACCCATACTTTCCACAGTTTTCTTAAATCCATTCTGGATCATTAAATTTAGTCCAAGAAATATATTCCTAAGCCAAATTACGTACTCTGTACACCTAATCAGAATGATTGCACAGGTCTCAAACTCAGATGCCTGTAGGGACCAGGCAAGTAAAATGAACGTGAGAACTGTCCTGGGTTGTAACACCATAGGGAGGGGACCATGGCTGACTAGACATTACATGTCCCTTAATTACAGCATTTGGATGAATAACTGTGCTGATGACAAATGTGTCTGGGGGCTGAGGGATAGAGTGAGATCGGCTTTAGAGTTTAAATTTTCTGAAAACCTCCAGAAAGCTTTTAAAGTAGAATTAAAAAGTAGGATCAAAATACTCAGCTCATAGACATCTAATTTGTTTCTTTCTTGATTAATGTGTGTTTTTTATTTATATGCTTCCACCTAGTGCACGGATCTCTGCATGTAAATATAAATCTTCCTCAGCTCCACCTTTGGTATCAAGTAGAGTCACTGTTGCTTCACAAACACCTGGGCCAACAGCTCAGCCAACCAGGAGAAACGAACCCAGGGCTCAGTTATCACATTATTCCAGTTCTGTTAGGGAAATGCTCCAAGATGAAATGTTTAAATTAGTTCAGGTAAGCACATCTTCATATAAACAAGTAAGTCTATACATGATATATGTGTAAGGTTTTAAAATATGAACAAACTTCCAGAGACGGACAAGTTAAAATTAAATTGCAGGGCTTCTCTGCTTTGGGCACTCTTGCTTTGTTATTCAGAAGTCCTAACTCTAGGGACTAGAGTCTAGGCTGAGTTCCCTACTTCCCATGATGACTTTTTTTTACTGAGCTCTTGGGGATGCAGAGCTGCTCACAAAAGTGAGGTGGGGGATAATCAAACCAGACCAGCGGCCCCTGCTCAAAGGTGCGCAAAGTTTATTTTCTAACACAGCCTGTCACATCACATTTATCATCCCCAAACCAAATGTTGGCTTGGTTTGAAATTGCCAGCTGCATTTTAAAGTATTGTTCACTTTGCCTTCCATCATCTTTTTCTCACCTGGTTATCCTTTCCTCTGTCTACCAACAATTTTTAAATATTTCCCTTTTCTGTTTTATTCCTTAAACATTAATTTCCGTCAGATCTTATCTTCTCTTCATCTTTTCTACATTCACTTTCATATCCTTTTTGTTTTTAATCATACAATTTTCTTTTTTATTTATTTATTTTATTTTTCGCTGCGTTGGGTCTTTGTTGCTGTGCGTGGGTTTTCTCTCGTTGCGGCGAGCAGAGGCTACTCTTTGTTGCAGTGCATGGGCTTCTCACTGCAGTGGCTTCTCTTGTTGCGGAGCATGGGCTCTAGGCACATGGGCGTCAGTAGCTGTGGCACACGGGCTCAGTGGTTGTGGCTTGTGGGCTCTAGAGCACAGGCTCAGTGGTTGTGGCGCACGGGCTTAGTTGCTCTGCGGCATGTGGCATCTTCATGGACCAGGGCGTGAACCCATGTCCCCTGCACTGGCAGGCAGATTCTTAACCACTGCGCCACCCTGGAAGCCCTCATATCCTTTTATGTGATGCAGTATACCATTTTTGTATGGATAATTCTGGGCACTAATTTTGTGAGTTTTTCAAATATGTGTACAGATTTTTATAAATATGACTCTTTTGTAATTAACTCATGTACAGCCTCATCCTGTATAGTTTAACAGTGAATGAGCCTGTGTGGTGCCTAGGCTCACAGCCAGGCTTGTGTGGTATTCCCATGACTTTGTGACTGATTGGTGTCTTCCCGTGTGGACTGTGGCCTGGCCAGAGACCCTCACACATCCCACTATGGGGCAGCCAGGACTGTTCCCATCCTCCTAGCATGCCCATACCCCTCCTCATGCCCTGCCCACACCCCTCCTCCAATAGAGACCTATGCCCTCCGTGACAGCTCCCCATGTGCTGTTGCTGGGATGTTTATACTAAAAAAAAAAAATCTTTAAACTATGGGTCCTGATGGGAATACTTTTTCAGCATGTCCCACTGTCCCATGGAACTTTTTGAAATTGATTTTATTCTTATTTTTCTGAGTGTCTTCTTTCCCTTTTCTATTTACTAGCATGACCTATTTTACCTGCTTAAAGTTTTAGAAGCATTTGTCAAACTTGTTTTTTGGATTACCTAGGGACATTGCTGGTCACTGCCCTGTATATTTAACAAATTCTCCAGATAATTCTGGAGAAGATTAAGAATCACTGTCTTAGAGAGTCATCTTTACCTTCTTTCACTATGCATATCCAGTGTTTTACTATGCCCTCTTGACTCTTTTGCCCACATTGTATGTCAGTGTAGTTACTTGTTATTTCTATAGTGGTAGCCAACCTTAGGTTCTTAGAACTTCATACTTCCATTGTCTCATATATGCATTTCTGAGACATTTTCCCCCAGATATTGTTTTAATACTCTTATTTTCCTGCTTTAAAATCTTCAGTAAATTTCGGGCACAAATTTGTATACTATATGATATCAGTCATGTTTTAAAAATACAAAGAATGGAACTTCCCTGGTGGCGCAGTGGTTAGGAATCTGCCTGCCAATGCAGGGGACATGGGTTCGAGCCCTGATCTGGGAAGATCCCGCATGCTGCAGAGCAGCTAAGCCCATGCACCACAACTACTGAGCCTGTGCTCTAGAGCCCGTGAGCCACAACTGCTGAGCCCACGTGCCACAACTACTGAAGCCCATGTGCCTAGAGCCCATGCTCCGCAACAAGAGAAGACACCACAGTGAGAAGCATGCGCAGCGCAATGAGGAGTAGCCCCAACTCACTGCAACTAGAGAAAGCCCACAGCAACGGAGACCCAAAGCAGCCAAAAATAAATAAATAAATAAATAAATAATAAAAAAATAAAAATACGAAGAATGAAAGGATATACACTAAAAAATGTCAATACTAGTTATCTTTGGGAATAAAATTATGAATCATTTTTCTTTTTTATCCTTTTTCTTCTGTAATAAGCATATATTTCTTTTGTAATTGAAGGGACCTACATTTTCTTTTTAAAACCCGCAGTGTTTCCTTATTGGCTTGTTTTAAGAAGTGCAAATTCCTCTGTTGGGCTTGAAAGACCCCCATGGACAGCTTTTTTTTTTTGCGATATGTGGGCCTCTCACTGTCGTGGCCTTTCCCGTTGCCGGATGCGCAAGCTCAGCGCCCATGGCTCACGGGCCCAGCCGCTCCGCGGCATGTGGGATCCTCCCGGACCGGGGCACGAACCCGTATCCCCTGCATCGGCAGGCGGACTCTCAACCACTGCGCCACCAGGGAGGCCCTGGACAGCTTTTATATTCCCTCTTTTCCCACCATACTCTCACAAGTCCAGTGGTTCTCAAAGTGTGGGCCCTGAACCATTAGCATCAGCATCACTTAGATATTAGGAACACAAATTCTCAGGCTGCCATCCCAGACCTACTGGAGTCAAACTCTGGGGATGGGGCTCAATAAAGAGTGCTTTTAGAAGTCCTGCAGGTGGCTCTGATGCATGCTACAGTTTGGACCACTCTACTCACTTCTCTTCTCATTAGCTATAAATTTCCTGCTCCATCTAAGCCAGTGTCCATGCTAGTGGTTCCCAAGCTTTTCTGTACATTGAAATCACCTAGTCATCTTAAAAAATACTAATCCTGGCTCACATCCCCTGGATACTCTGATTTTATTGGTGTAGGGTGTGACCTGGCCATTGGGACTTTTTAAATGCTCCTCAAGTGATTTTGTTATTCAAGGTTTGTCAGCCACAGTGCATACCTTTGCCTTTCACTTGGTCAGCCCTTCCACAGGAATTCTTCTCTCTTCACCTGTTGCTAATCTCTGCTTTTTTCTTTCCTGAAAAACCTGGCCACAACACACCCATTTTAGGAATTCTTTAATTATACTCACCCACTCCATCAGACCACTCCTTTATGGTCCCAGGGATGTTAATGTAAACTGCTTTACAGATAGTCCCAAGTCTCACTAGGAGTTCATATTCCTAGTTGACAGCTCCTTGAAAACAGGAAGCTATTCTTCTTTTCCTTTTTAAAAAAAATCTCTCCCAGCTCTGCTTCCTATTCAGCATTTATGGGTCCAGCAGTTACTAAGACGGAAGTATGACTATTCTGGAATACTCAGATAATTATTGTTGCTTCTTTAGGTTCTTTTCATTATATTTTAAGATGTTTCCTTAATTTTTATTTTATCTTAGCTGCAACAGGTCAACTTCATGAGCCTAATGCAAATAGTAGGATCATCCTTTGCTAACCACCCGGATATACATCAACTTCTACAGCAGTCTCAGTCTGTGCATTTGGTGGGAAGCCAAGGATCAAACCCCACAAGAGGCAGTCTTGATGTTGAAGACACCAGTAGAAATCTGAAGGAGAGATTTTTCGTTAAACCACAACCCATGGGAGAGTACACCAGAGAGCCTGGCAAGAACAGCCCACACTGCCATAAAGGAATTGTGCAATCTGATGAAAATAGTAATGGAAATTTACAGGTAATGCATTTTAAAATACCATTAAAGTTGTCCTAGTAGTTCAGTTGTTGGTTATTTGAGTAAATAACTTATTTAGTAATTATATTCCACCTCCTCCAAAACATATTGAACATCATTTAAAAAGTAGGAGTTGGTAATGTATTTTAATCTTACATAATATTTTTTTCTCTTCCAGAATGTTCCACATAGGAGTGTTTCTTTTTGTCAGTTAGAAGGCCAAACCCAGAATAGAGGACTAACTCCAGCATCTCAGAGCTTACCAACCACTTCATTGTCTCCAGCCCCTGCTGGAAATACTCACCTCCACCTTTTGTCCACGTCTTCTGCCATTCTGAAGACACCTGAACTTATCCCCACTGCAAACACTTTCAGACCTGGTGATGGTTTTCCTTTGCTTCAATTTCAGCCCAACCCTGAATTTAAGCCCCTTTCCTTCCATACAGAAAGAGTTCCTCAAGTTCCCTTCAGTCCTCCGCCACAGCCAAGAGTGGCTTGGGGATTATCTGATTTCTTCCAGCCTCCCTTGCCAAAGAGAGCAGTGGACACTACTTCAATGTCCCATTTGAATTTGAGCCAGTATAATACTGAAGCCATAAAAAAAGCAGTTGAGCAGAAGAAATGGGCAGAAACAATAATTACAGAAATTCCTAAGCATGTGAACTTGGATCAGTATGTTGGACAAGAAAACTTGACACCTCAGCAGGACTCTGCAACATTTATAAAACCAGAAAAACTGTTGGATGTTAAGCCAGGGCCCTTTGAGGTATCTCCTCAGAATTCTTTTGGACTTCCATTATTGCACCTGCAACTTAAACCTCCTTCTGTATTTTCCTCTGCCTCAAGAGCATCAGTTACAGTTCCATCAATACCTATTAGAACTGTAGCAGAAGAAAGCAAGTACCCAAGACTATCACTACTTCATTCATGTCTATCCCAAGAAAATATGGTAAGGATTTTTGCAGAGTGATGCAAAAGCACAGTCCTACCTTTTTCATACCATAAATATACACTCAGTGAAAAGCTCTTACGCACTTTTTTTTTTTTTTTTTTTTTTTTACGGTACGCGGGCCTCTCACTGTTGTGGCCTCTCCCGTTGCGGAGCACAGGCTCCGGACGTGCAGGCTCAGCGGCCGTGGCTCACGGGCCCAGCCGCTCCGCGGCATGTGGGATCTTCCCGGACCAGGGCACGAACCTGTGTCCCCTGCATCGGCAGGCGGACTCTCAACCACTGCACCACCAGGGAAGCTCACACACTTCTTTTTAAAGAAATAATGCTTCTGTTATTGAAAATAACATACAAAATTTGGTTTAAAATAATAATGGAGTACCTTAAAGGTTTTAGGTCTTTTTCGTGTATCAGTACCAGAGTTTTCTAGACTCTTTCAAAAAGATGTTTCTGAGATTCTGCTCAGAGAAGAAATAAGAAGTAAAATAAAATGACCAGTGTTCTTGAGTGTGTGTGTGTGTGTGTGTGTGTGTGTGTGTGTGTGTGTGTGTGTGTCTCTGTCTGTCTGTCTAGAGAGAGAGCATTGTTTGGGGTTCCTAGCAATTGTGATATGATTCCCTTCAAATCTACTACAGGTTAAAATTGTTAAATTTAGACCCAGATCTGTAAGTAGTTTTACTTATATTAAAAAATTGTATCTTTTTAAAATACTTTAAACACAAAGATTAAATCTTTATAAACCCACCAAATCATCTTTAAAGTTGTAACCTTTGATTTATGAAATTAAGATTGTTTAGGTTCTAGTTTTGTAAGTCAGTACAGTTGAGTAATTGAGTAATTCATTCTCTGGTACACTTTTAAGATTTGAAAATGGTGCTGGGAAAAGAAATGGTCATTCCTTAGAAAAAGTACTTATCGTGCCTTCCTTTCTTCTGAACGTATTATGAACAAAAAAGAAAGGATTAAAGGAGTGGAGAAGTAGACATTTTGGGAAGGTTCTAAAAGAAATATTTTTAATTAGAATAGTATAATGAACCCCCAAGTTACCATCACCCAGCATCAGTGATTATCAACATATTGCTAATCTGTTCCATCCATAATCTCCACCCGTGTGCATCCTCCCTATTCCAAAGAATTTTAAATCAAAGCTAGACGTTATATAACTTCATTTATAATTTTAAGAAGGAAGATTTTTAATATGAAAAAGAAATTAAGAAGATGAGGACTTTTAACATAATTTCTGAAATAAAATACCCAGTAGAAATTTTCAGGAAATGATTTCTAAAATCATTTGTACTTTAAGATCTGCGTACTCGTCTTACCAGTCCAAATCAATTTGTTTTCTTTGATATGTTCTATTTCTTGCACGTCTTAGTTTAATTTAAACCAATGTTTTTCTCAATTTTTTATTAACATATTGCCTAATTGAGGTTTGTAATTTTAAATTACTATGCTTCGTTTCTTTCTTATAGTACCAAAGCCCACAACTTATTCCACTTGAAAACCTTATTGCATTTAAACAAATGCAACAAAAATTAACGCATAATTTATTTGAACAAGGCGATCCTGGACACCTCCAGCTTCTACAGGTTGAAATAGAATCATCTGAATTGAGACAAGGAAAGGACAGTAAAAAAAGGCAAGTTTTAAGTGAAATTTTATTTGAGCATGTACCTGCAAACGTACCTGCAAGTTTATCATTAGTGACAATAATATAGTTATAAGATGGAAGTTATCTGGTTCAACCTCCCAGCCTGACACAATTGCGTATTCAGTTTCCTTGTCAGGTGTCATGCATTTGAACACATCTTGTGATGAGAAAAACTCCTATAATGTGAGAAACAAATACTATTATTTTTTACACTTTATTAAGGAATTCTTTCCTGGCATTCATAGGCTAGAGGTTTCTTTTTACATTTTTCTCTAACAGGATGAGCAGTCATCTTTTGTAGCACAAATATTTGATATCATGAAATCATCCATATACTGTCCAATACACTGAAGTAACGTTTTTGTTATTCTTCTTACCATATCCTCCAGACTCTTACAGGAAGCAGTGATGTGAATTGTTTCAGGGCACTAAGAAATGCGCATGTAAAAAGCAAGGCTGTGACTTCTAATGAAGAGCATTTATAATGTTTTACTCATAATGGATGTTCAAAACATGTATTAACTGGTAGATTATTACTTAGTTTAGAAAATACTTTAAAAATTTCACATTTATGAGACCCTAAAATCTACTACCAGTGCTCTCTTTCCAGAAATGGTCTTTCCTTCCATCTTTTCCAGGTAAACCCTCTTCAAAGTAAGTTTTCCCCTTAACTTTTTGGGCTCTCCTTCCTCCTTGCTGGGATTTCCTCCTTGCTGAGGTGACTGAGTTTGCCTAACTTCTTCAGATAGGTGAATAGAGGTATCCAGTAGGGTTTCTGGGGCCAGCTTAGAATCTGCAGAAAAGAGAATTTGAAAATTACCTAAAAGGTGTAACTCTAACCTGGGACTCTAGTGACTAACACAAAGTCAGTTCAGTAGTAGAGGAACTAGAAATAACTTTCATGGGTCCCTGACTTCTGCTTATATTTGCTTGTACTCTAGCAGAATATCTTGCTAATTTAATTAAATGGCACTGAAAATAATTTATTGACAAAATTTTGATAACTGTCCCACTGCATAGCATGATACAAATGAAAAACTGATGTTACTAAAATAGTAAAAATATATTTTACACTATCGTTTTTAATAGACAAAGACGACGAGCTGAAAAAGAGCTGCAAGAAAAAAGATCAGAGAAACTAAGGAGAAAACCAAGTGTGACTTTGCAGCCAGAGGATTTTATCATTAATGATAATGATTCAGAAATAGTTATGAAGCCCAAGGTATAGAAAAACTATAATACATTCTTCTCTGGTCTGCATGTACACAGAGTTTGCAATGTCTGTGGTTTATCTAGTCGTCTGATTGCTGGAAGCTTTTGATTGTGACTAGGAGAATCTTAACATCATTAAGCACATAAATCTCTGCTGCATCCCTCTGTGCAACAGTAGGCACACAGTTGTGAATGTGAAAAGCAACTTGTTGGTAAATCAAAAACTAGTTTAGAGCATCTGCTTGTGTGACTTATATTTGAAATCACTTTTCCTTTCTTCTATGACATCTTAATGCGTATCATGTTATTTGGGTTTCTCCTATGATAGTTTCACCTGTTTTAGGTGCCTCTAGGATTTCCCAAACATAGGTTTGTTATGCAACCTATATTTTATATCAGATCTTTGCAAACATTCCTTCTAAATTTGGTGACTACCTGTATTTGCAACAAGAGTTTAAATAAACAGAAATAGTTTTGTGTACTTGAATCTTAGCACCCTTTTTTCAGTAAGTCCTCAAGAACATGTCTAGAGGCACTTAGTAAAATGTTGAGTCCATGAACAGTTTTGATATTATTTGTGAGTTAAAGCTAGTCTTGCAGGAGAGAATTACATATTGTAATTTAGTAACTGCATTAAATTGGTAATCCTCTTTTTTATTGTTTGACTTGTGAATTTCGTAAGCATCTTTGTGGAGTTACTTTGATAGAGTAAATAATTTGATAGAATAAATATTTCTAGAATTAAAGGATTTTAAACTATACCTAAAAAATCAACATTTCTCATAGCTATTGAATATTTTTTTTCAAAATAATGACTGTCTTTGAGTTAATTATAACTTGATCATTTGGGGATTCATTTAGGAGCAACAAGAACATCATGGTTCCCAGCCTTTGGAAGACTTTGACATTCCTTTTGGTATGTATATGCATGATTAATGTCACATCTCCATTCACAGTTAAAATCAGCTTTCTAAAAATATGTAGATACCTACCCACTTCCCAGGGATACTGGGAAAAGCGGAAATGTTTATGTAAGTGTTGTATCTTGTAAGCACTGTTAAAATGTTAGTTATGATATATGAAAAAAATACAAAAATATGTAGATAAAAATGAGACCAAATTGCTTTCATGTTATCTTTGACAGGATGGTGTTTATGTGTGTATGTATGTGTATGTGTTTGTTTTGATGTGTTATCCGTTAGAGCAGTGGTTGACAAAGTATGGCCCACAGACCAGAACTGGATTACACCTGCTTTTGTGAATCAAGTTTTATTGAAACACAGGCATGCCCATTTATTTACACATTGTCTATGACAGCTTTCACATTGCAGCAGGTTCCATTTGTTGCAAAAGGGACCACATGGTCACAAAGCCTAAAATATTTATCATCTGGCCCTTTACAGAGTTTACCAACCCCTATAGTAGAGCAAGGCAATTAATTAGAATCTCAAATAAGATATTGATATATAAGGCCTAAAAGGAAATGATTGGCGAACACGCCTGGAGTCAAATTAATCATAGAAAATACATGTACATTAAAGTAAAGGAATCAGTTCAGAAAAAAGAACTTGTTTATAGATAGTAAATTCTTTTCTTTCTTGAATTGGTCAATTCATTTCTTGCCACTGAATGTACACTTTCTCCAAGCCTTTCTCTTCAGTATTTTTCACACATACACACACAAACGCTCTTGTGCCTCTGCAACCATTCACTCTCATGACTTCAGCTCTTAAATTTTTTTGGTGACATTCAAATATACATCTTCCCTCTCTTTCTTTTCTACTTTCCCCTTAAATTCAACATGTTCACGGGAGTTCTTTGGTGGCCTAGTGGTTAGGATTCTAGGCTTTCACTGTGGTGGCCCCGGGTTCAATTCCTAGTTGGGGAACTGAGATCCCACAAGCTGGATGGTGTGGCCAAAACAAAAACAAAAAAAACATGTCCACATTTTAAACTGGCATTTTCCTATTAGTGATATCACCACTCATTTGATTGGACAAGATTTTTACCTTGGAAGTCACCCCTGATTTATCCCTCATGTCTGTTACCCCATTCCTTCACTTAATCCTTGACCTGGTGCTCCCTCCCTTTCTCGGTGCCACGACCCAGCATCAGGCCTCTGTGTGCTGAGCAGTTGTCTCCTCACTGACCTGCTTAGCTTCCATTTCTCAGCTTCTTAATCTGTCTGGTGTTCTTCTTTTCCACGCACTTGTCTTAAAACCATTTTCCTTTTCATTCTTGATAACATTCTTTCTCTTCATAAAGGTAGTACATATTCACTGGAGAAAATTTAGAAAATGCAAGTAGAAAATAAGACCAATATTAAAATCTCCAATAATCCTTCTGTCTAGAGATAACCAGTGTTAATATTCTTCTAGGGTTTACTTTCTGAATATCCCTACTCTCTCTATATCTATAAATTATATATATGTGTGTGTGTGTGTGTGTATGTATATATTTATATATAAAAAGAATACCACCTCTACTTGTTTATAACTTACTTGTTTTTATATACTAGTATTAAGGTATATATCTTCCCATTTTACTAGATATTCTTCTACAATGTCATTTAAAATGACTGTGTAGTACTCCAGTGAATGTATATTGTGTCATTCCAAACAACAGTTCTCCACTTCTGTGACATCTGCTGGGTGTCCTATAATTCAATTCCATTCTAACACTAATAACCTAGAGTTAGCACAGACCCCAGAGGTTAAGGAATCAGTCCCAAAAGACTCCCTATTTCCTTTAGACACCAGCTGCAAATGGGGTCCCCCAACACCTGCATTTTTGTCTGGTCAAATATAAATTCAGGGTTTCCCATGACACCCCTGCCCCCTACCACCAGGTTTACTAATTCTCTAGAGCAACTCTAGAACTCACAAAAGCACTTTATTTGTGGTTACAGTTTCATTATAAAGGATACAACTCAGGAACAGCCAAATGGGAGAGATGCATAGGGCAAGGTATGGGGTTTGAGGACACAGAGCTCCCACACCCTTTCTGGGTGCACCAACTCCCAGCACATCCACTTAATCATCAACCTAGAAGCCCCCTTAGCCTCGTTGTCTCAGGGTTTTTACTGGAATTTCATTGCGTAGTCATGATTGATTACATCATTGGCCATTGGTGATTGAACTCCAGCTGCTCTCCCCTCCATGGAGATAAGGCGGGGCTGATAGTTGGTTCCTCTGGTGACCAGCACCCATCCTGAAACTATCTAGGGGCCTGCCAGGAGTCATTAGCCTAAACTCAGATATGATCAAAAGGGGCTCATCATGAATAACAAAACATACTCCTACCACTCAGGAAAATCCAAGGGTGTAAGGAGTTTTGTTCCTGGAACCAAGGACAAAGACCAAATATAAATATTTTTATTATACTACCAAGTGCCATCATGGATACTCTTTTATTCTACTTAGACTCCCTGGGTACTCTCCCAGGAATATCCACATCAAAACCTAAACTCCCATAATAGTCTTTGGACTTTGATTCTACTTCCTG